CTCCGCGGCTTTGGTCTGAAAGCGCTTCGGTCTAGACTTCGCTATCTGTGCTATGTCATACTTGCCGATGTTATATGGGTTGTCTGGGTAGTCCTCCAGAAGGCCTTTTCAGCAAGGTGGGCACTTCAGCGCATGTCGGATGCTAATTTTTTTTTAAGGTCCAGGCATCATTGCGGGAAACAGGCGGGGTTTGCATCGGAGGATAAAGATGTTTCTCCATCGGCTGAGTCTTTGGTTTTGCTCAACAAGGCTGGCCTGCGCAACAAACAGCGCAAAGTGCGAATACGGACCATGATTGATGCCTCGGCTTTCGGGGAAGACTCCCCTTTAAGCTTGCATAAGTGAATGTGCGGCGGTTGTTAGCCGGAGGCCGCCGAAGTTGCAAGACCCTCAGTGTTTGGTGAAGGTGGTTGTACCCCTCACCCAAGTTCAGATCGAGAACCTGTTGAAATTAATAACGGCCTTAGCTTTGCAACGGACAAGGTTGGGAGCGAGAATCTTGCAAATTCTTTGCATTTGCTTGTGTCATGTTGGGCTGGCGTGGCAATTTACAGGCGCCGCTTCCAAAAGCCGTGCTGCAGCAAGGAATTGGGAATTACTGCAGGCCAAGAGGCTTGCCCAAGGCTGGGAGTGCGCGCAGGGCAGGGGCAGCAAATTACAACCACTCTGCAGGCGCCTGGGGGGGGGGGGGCAGGGCGGCTCGAAAATTGCTTTTCCCAAGTCTCAGAAGGCCAGCTTTGCCCATCAATCTTTGACAACTTGAGATATCGCACGTGCCGACTTGCAAGACAATCAGCTCCACAGTAAGTGAAGGTGGTTGTACCCCTCACTCATACTTCTATTGCGAAACGGTTGCTGGAGAAGGCCAAGACGGCCCTGTCTTAGTTTGGTGGTATGTTGGTATGGCTCGAAGGCACATTTGCTTTAGATGCGCGTTTCCCCCCTGGCCCGCCTGCTGCCCTGGCAGGACTTGAGGAGCAGCTGGCGGATCGAGATCAGGATCTGGTTGGAGGAAAGTGGGCAAGGAGCAGTTTCCGGGCTGTTTTCTTCTGCTGTTGCTGCCGGATTCACACACAACCACAGTCACAGGAGAGTTTTTTTGGAATGCCCCAAACGCCCACCAAACTTACCGACGCCACCCCTCGGTAAATTCGGGAGCTCCATCGGGCATACAAGTTTTGTTTGAGCCAAAAAACGCCCGCAAAGGGCAACAGAAGCAGCGGGGCCCCCCCGGCCCCCCGTTTTGGTGGACCCGCGCTCCCTGGAACAAAGGGAAGCAACATAGCAAAACAAGCAAGCAACATGTGTTTGTGCCCCGAGACCAGCTAGACCTGTTCTTCGCAGTCGCGTTGTGCTTTGCTGGCCCTGTGTACTGCGCAGTACTGTGGATTGCTCTTGTCACCTCCCGAAGGATCAGTGAAACGCTGCTTCTTAGAACTTCGGATCTCCGTTTGTTGGGCGGGGAAGACCACGACGAGCCACATGTGCTTTTCCAGCAGTGGGCGGAAGACAAAGCGTATAAAGGCAACGGCAAGTTGGGCGCAGAGAGGGTGGTAGCTCGACTTTCAACTGAAGCCATTGAAGGCACGCAGAAGTTGCGATCAGAGGGTTTGGAGTGGGGTGTTCTTCCAGTTTTGGAAGCCTGCAGGCAGTCACACGAAGCGGTCTTCAAGCTAAAGCCGCTCAGGAAAACAACTTTTACCATTCCTGAAACTGGGGGCAACAATTTTCTCTTTCCGGCTATAACGAAAAGAAAGGGCTGCCGGCCCAACATGTCAAGGCAAACAGTTTCCTCAGCCCTTTCGCGCATTCGGGAAGTCATGCACAAGTTGACAAACAGCCGTCGCTGGAACCCATCTGCGCGGTGCCAAGGAAACAGGGTGACAGCGCATGGCGCAACTCGACACACAAGCGCTGCCTTGCTACTTTTCAAAAAAGGCGCTTCCCCGGCAGAAAGGCCATGTGAGCATGTCATTTTGGAAATTCAGCAGCGCTCGGATGCGAGAGTGTTCAGGAAGCATTACTGCCACGCAGATGAAGACGAAGTAAGGGCGGCGCTGGAGTTTGGGGCTGCTCCGAGCCCTTTCGGGAAACGAAAAGCTGACGAAATGAACAACAAGAATGGCGTGGCGGCAATCCCGGACCTAAACATTGGGCCTGGCGTGGTGGTACCCCCAAGTCCAAAAGGGGGTTGCCTGCCGCCTCCAACATCTCAAGAGCACCCCTCAGGCCCAAGTCCTTCGCAGACATCGGCTCCATTGCCACCAGCGCGGCTCCAGGAGCCCGCAGCGCAGCCGCAGGACGGCGCCGCAACACTGCAGCCATCGGCGCTGTCGCAGCCATCCACAGGCAAACATCAGTACTGCAGTCGTATTGCCGGGAGCTCAGCTGTTGATTATGTCGCATGTCATGCCATCTAAAGTGACAGAGTGTGTCGTGGCATGGCCATGATTATGTTGGCTTGTTCTGAGGCATTCCGCAGGGCCAAGCGCAAAGAGAAGCTGAAAGCAGCTGCTGAGAGCAGCGGCATATGACTTGTCTCACATGCTCGTGCAGGAGAAGAAACCACGGACGACGCTGGCTTTAGCGAAAAGACATATCCATATTATATTAAACAAATCCTAATGATATTGTGAGGGCTTCTTTCCAAACAGGTTTGTGCCAGACAGCCTCAAACAAACAAATAACAAATAGCATTCTTGTCGGCATGCTGGCGAGGTGCCCCTTGCAAGTTTGTGGCCTATGCCCCTTGCAAGTTTGCGGCGCTTTGCCCCCGGCACGCAAGCCTTTGTCGTTCTTGGAAGTGGGGCTGACCGGTTTGTTGGCGAAATGCCCCTTGCAAGTTTGTGGCCTATGCTCCTTGCAAGTTTGCGGCGCTTTGCCCCCGGCACGCAGGGCTTGGTCGTTCTTGGAAGTGGGGCTGACCGGTTTGTTGGCGAAATGCCCCTTGCAAGTTGGCCCCCGGAAAGCAAACTGAGGCAAACAAGGTTTGCTCTGCGCTTGGAGCGCTGCGCTGCGCTGGCATTATCATATATTAATTTGGCTTTGCAATAAAACAACCTACATTTTTATATGATCTAAAACATGATGTGAATATACATGGACAAAATGCGCGGTGCTTGCAGAGAATTCTAGATATTTAAACGCACATGTTTGGCATATATAGCGCGCGCTCGTTTGCATGTCCATGCTTTCAACGCAGCAACACGTCATGTGTTATGAGAAATAAAATTGATGTAATATATTCCTAATACACGAGAAATGGAGAGGGATATGTTTGTGTGCGTGCTCGTGCGTATAGAACAGAATTTAGTCCAGAAACATTCAAGGCAATTGCGCCTCCCACGCGCTGTTTTGGCTCAAGCTGCGGCTGAGTGCCTAGCGCCTAGCTGGGCCCTGCCAGCTCAAAAATAAAGACACCGCCTCTTTCAGCGCTTCCCCAGCCGCTGGGTACCACCACAGCTCACTCCGCAAGGCCTCTCCTCCAGCCTCCAGCAAGCCTGGCTGGGTACCACCACATCTCAAGCCCTGTCCTCCAGCCATGAAGGGCGCGATGAGCCACGCAGTCTCTGGAACGACGGGCTCCAGTCATGCCAGCAAAAGCGGAGCGGCTGATCCTCGGCCTTCAGGCTCAGCACTGGCATGTTATATGGCACAGACCGCGTCCTGCTCCAGAATGAAGTGTCCTCGCAAGTGCCCGCCGCCAACTGCCAGCTCCAACGCACGTGTCGCGATGTATTCGGTGACAATCTCCTTGATGTAGTCAAGTGTGGCCCAGGTCGGAACGTGCACCTCGATATTGTTGGCGAAGGGCACGTGCGTCAGCAAGACAATCACGGTCGCGGGGGCGAGCGTCTGCGCGTTGACCGCCATGCAGGCGCAGAGCGTGCGCCTTACCCTATGTTGGCTGTGAGTGGGGAACAGCTGCAGACACTATAGCAGCCATGGCTCACAAAACAGGCATGTTGTACTTTTCAAATGTTGTGGGCAACATGCATAAGAAAAATAAACATCAGACCGTGGAAGCAAGCCAAGCAAACAGCTCATCACTCAAGGCGGCGTATGTGTCACCTCTGGCCTGCCTGGCGCCTGCGCTTTCACGTGCTTGGAGGCATTTGCGCGCTGCCTTTTGTCAAGCAAGCGCGCGCTTCTGCCAAATATTTCCTAAATGACTACCAAAATTGCCCAGAACGCGGGCCCTCAAGCCGCCTTTGCCAGAGAGCTCCCGGGCAGCGGGCGCCACCACGACTGCTTGATCTCGGCGGCAGCCGATTCGATCACCAAAGCTCTTCCGAGCCAGAGGATGCCTCAGCGTCTTCCTTCTTGCTCTTCTTTTTCTTCGGGGGCTTCTTAGTGTCGCCTGCCTCAGTGTCATCTTCAGGCTCCATCGTCGCCAGAGTTGTCGTCATCAACTCGCTTCTTCTTCTTGGATGCCTTTGGCTTTGCCTTTGGCTTAGGTTTTGGCACTTCCTCGGGCTCATCAGTCGCCTTTGTCCTCTTTTATGGAGCCGTCTGGCTTCAAGAACTTGTTGGCCCCCTCTCGGTAAAGGGTGTGTCCTTGCTCCACAAACTTGGACAAGCAATACTTCGTCAGGCGCTCTTCCAGCGCCGTGCGCTTCGCTCAGGCACACCGCCAGAACTGGCACGCGCGCATCCAAGCACGCCTGCTCCAGGAACCCTTGCCCTGGTGTGAGATCTACAACGCCTTGGCAGCACAGCGACGCCAGCAGCTCACTGTGGAACTGCTGCGGCAAGCGCGTGCCGCTGTTTGCTGCCCGCAGCTGCTTTTCTGATCCTTGCTCAGGCCTAGGCCGCGTAAAAACTCATAACGACACCTACGGAAACCCACGCTGGAAGTGAAGCAAAATACGTTTTTTAGCAAAGCTGCTGCCTTCCTCGGCGGCGGTCAGTGTGAGCGTCTTCTTGCCCAGGACTTTTTCCTTCACAGGCCGAGGCGCTTTTGACAAAGCATTGGCAGTCCACCCAGCCACTGACATCGC